CTGAGGACCCGGGCGTTGGAGCTGCTGCTGGTGCTGAGGACTCGGGCGTTGGGGCTGCCACTGGTGTCCCTGCTGTTTCTGGAGACGCTGCGCGGCCGCGACCGTACTTCGTACCGCTCCTTCAGCAGGTTCTTGGTCAGGCTCCTCCTCTTAGTCCTCCTCCCTCCGTAGCGTGTCCTCCGCCTGTCCAGCCGCAGTCACAGTTACCGCCTGTCTCGCCTCTCCCTGCTCCCTCCCCTTACGCTGGTCCCACAGGAGGTCTTACAGAGCGTCGTGAGCCTGAGTCTCGTCCTGCGTCGCCTGTTCGTACTGCTCGCACTGGTCGTCGTGTCCCACGTGAGCGTCCTCCTCCTGTCCCTGGCACTCACTACATGACTCTACGTCCCTCCACTGCTCCGCAGCGTGTCCCGCTGCCGTCTCCTCCTGCGTCCTCTCTTCCTACTCTTCCTGACCCGGAGTCTGACTCCCGTCGTGCTGCCAGTCCCACTGTTACGCGTCTCCTCGCTACAGTTGTCACTGACCCGACCTTTGAGTCCTCTGCTGCGTCTGCCCTGGTCGCTGAGTTGGTTGACTTTGCTGCTCGCTGTCGCCTAGACTACGCTGCCAGCCTTGTCGCTAGGTCTGAGTCTGCGTCTGCCTGTCCTCCGTCCGTCGGGGGTGAGTGTGCCCTCGGCACGGACGTCCTTGAGGACAGACAGGAGGAGTTCCACTGCCTTGCTGCTGCTTTGCCCCGTCTCGTGTCCTTGCTAGTTGCCCCTGAGGGAGACCCGGATGCACCAGACATCCCGACCCCACGCTCTTACGCTGAGGCGATGGCGGGTCCCTACTCCTCTCAGTGGCAGACAGCCATGGACGCAGAGATGGCCTCCTGGAAGTCCACAGGCACCTACGTAGACGAGGTTCCCCCTCCTGGGGCGAACATTGTCAGTGGCATGTGGATTTTCAGGGTGAAGCGGCCGCCGGGTTCTCCGCCTGTTTTCAAGGCGCGCTACGTGGCTCGAGGCTTCAGTCAGCGAGAGGGAGTAGACTTCTTTCAGACCTTCTCCCCCACCCCGAAGATGACTACTCTTCGGGTGCTGCTGCACATAGCCGCTCACCGCGACTACGAGCTTCACTCTCTTGACTTCAGCACTGCTTTCTTGCAGGGCAGCCTGCACGAGGAGATCTGGCTGCGTCGCCCCCCTGGCTTCACTGGGTCAGTTCCTCCTGGCACCCAGTGGAGGCTTCAGCGGCCGGTCTACGGTCTCCGCCAGGCGCCACGTGAGTGGCACGACACACTGAGGACGACACTTGCGGCTCTTGGGTTCGCTCCCTCTACTGCTGACCCGTCGCTGTTTCTACGCACCGACACCTCGCTGCCGCCGTTCTACATCCTCGTGTACGTCGACGACTTGGTCTTTGCCACTGCTGACACCGCGGCACTCGCTCACGTGAAGTCGGAGCTGCAGAGGAGACACACGTGCACAGACCTGGGTGAGCTGACGAGCTATCTTGGCTTGCGGATCACCCGGGACAGAGCACGGCGCACCATCACCCTGACTCAGTCACACATGGTGCAGCAGGTTCTCCAGCGCTTCCGCTTCACGTACTCCTCGCCTCAGTCCACTCCTCTGCCTACCGGTCACTCGCTCTCAGCTCTGCCTTCGGATGAGTCCGTAGAGCCGAGTGGCCCGTATCCAGAGCTTGTGGGCTGCCTCATGTACCTGATGACCTGCACTCGACCTGACCTTGCATACCCTCTTAGCATCCTAGCACGCTATGTCGCTCCTGGCCGTCACCGGAAGGAGCACATGGATGCTGCTAAGAGGGTGTTGCGCTACTTGTGCAGTACGTCGGGCATGGGGCTTGTGCTTGGAGGGCGAGACCGGGTTGTTCTCACAGGGCACTCAGACGCTTCTTGGGCAGACGACCAGGCTACTCAGCGGTCGTCCCAGGGTTACACCTTCAGCCTTGGCTCTGGCACAGTTTCTTGGCGTTCTACTCGCTCTTCTTCTGTTCTCAGCTCCAGTTGTGAGGCTGAGATCTACGCCACAGCCATGGCCGCTCAGGAGCTACGCTGGCTGACCTACCTGCTGACCGACCTCGGAGAGCGGCCTCGTTCTCCTCCAGTGCTGTACGTCGACAACAAGGCTGCCATTGCCTTGTGTGAGGAGCACAGACTGGAGCACAGAACGAAGCACATCGCTCTGCGGTACTTCCTGGCTCGAGAGCTGCAGCAGCGTGGTCAGCTTTGTCTGCGTTACGTGGCCACGGAGGCCAACACTGCTGATGTGTTCACCAAGGCGCTTCAGCCTTGTGACCATCAGCGCTTTTGCACTCTGCTAGGCCTTGTACCTACTGGGCCTCACTTACTTACCTCTTGACCTTGCTTGTACTGTGATCACTATATATATATGCCTACTTGTTTACGTTTGCTAGGTTGTGATCACTGTATCTCTTGCTTTGTTATAAACCTGCATGTGAACTGGTCTTGTGACCGCTTGCTTGTGCTCGGAATTTGTGTGGAATCCTTGAGATCCACCCTGAGCTTGTTTTGCTTTGCTTTGACTGGTCTTGTGACCCTGTGGCTGTCTCCCACTGCGCCTATGGGGGTGTGTCAAACATTGCATGTTTATATTGTCTAGGCTGTAGTGGGTTACACCTTAGGGGGTACACAAAGTTAGGGTTTCCTACTTGTACCAAACTCTGTTCTAGTTCATTCATTCCTGCTTGTACTTCTTTCGTGACCGCACTGTCCTTGAGCCGCTTGCTCGGCCAGTTGCTGTCTCCCTCGCTGACCCCTCTGGGGGCCCGGTCGTTGCGACCTCCTCCACTGTCCTTCCCTGTCCTGCGGTCCCGTCCGGCACACTGTCAGGTCTCCACCTCCCCTCGTTCTCTACGAACCTGGTGGCTGGGTGTGCGCTCCAGGACGCGGGTGTTCACCAGTTCACCCCTGCCTACGAGCGCGTGACACACTGCACGTGTGCTCGTACGGGCCGCCACTTGGCTACCTTCACTAGGCAGCCGGGGTCGGACCTGTACACACTGACCACTGAGTCCCCTCAGGTCGCTGCGTCTGCGTCTGCGTCTGCGTCAGGTCAGCTGTCCGCCCCCTGCTCGTGTCGCTCTCTGGCGCACGAGACTGTCCTCTGGCACCACCGACTTGGCCACCCGTCTGTGCAGCGCCTTCGTGCCATGCACTCCCGGTACCTTGTCTCTGGTCTTCCCAGGGTCCTCCCTCCCCTCCCACCCTCGCCTGCTCCTCCCTGTCTTCCCTGTGTCGAGGGGCGGCAGCGCGCCGCTCCTCACTCCTCCTCGTTTCCCCCGACGACTGCTCCCTTGCAGACGCTCCACATGGACGTGTGGGGCCCAGCCCGCGTCCGTGGTCAGGGTCAGGAGAGGTACTTCCTGATAGTTGTTGACGACTACTCGCGCTACACCACGGTCTTCCCCTTGCGCACCAAGGGTGAGGTCCCTGATGTTTTGATCCCTTGGATCCGCAGAGCTCGTCTCCAGCTCAGCGAGCGTTTCCACTCGGACTTTCCTGTCCTGCGCTTGCACTCTGACAGAGGTGGTGAGTTCTCCTCCGACCTCCTGGCAGCCTACTGTGCTGAGCACGGCATTGAGCAGTCGTTCACGCTTCCGGCCTCTCCACAGCAGAATGGGGTTGCGGAGCGCCGCATTGGCCTAGTCATGGAGGTCGCCCGTACCTCCTTGATCCATGCGGCTGCCCCCCACTTTCTGTGGCCGTTTGCGGTCCGGTACGCTGCGCATCAGCTCAACCTCTGGCCCCGTGTCTCCTTGCCGGAGACCTCGCCCACGCTGCTGTGGACGGGGGAGGTTGGCAATGCGTCGCGTTTCCGGGTCTGGGGATCTCGAGCTTTTGTCCGCGATACGTCCGCGGACAAGCTCTCCACCCGCGCTGTTCCCTGTGTCTTCCTTGGCTTTGTCCCTGACGCGTCTGGTTGGCAGTTTTACCACGCCACCTCGCGCCGAGTCCTTTCCTCTCAGGACGTCACTTTTGACGAGTCCGTCCCCTACTACCGCCTCTTCCCCTACCGCACTGCCCCGCTCCCCCCCCCCGCCTCTCTTCCTCGCGCCAGGTGCTGCTGTGGTAGACCCCCTCCCCCCTCAGGGTGCCGCTCCCTCAGGTGTGTCCCAGGTAGACCCGGTTGAGCCTGTTGAGGTAGCTGTTGACTCTCGTCCTGCTGGGGGTGCGGAGCCTGGGGGTGCTGAGCCTCTAGCTGCCGCGGGAACAAAAGTGGGGTGGGAGAGAATCAAAGTGAGTGAGATTGCCCGTTCGACTATGGCTAGGTCGGCCAGACACAGTAACCGCACCTTAAGCAAAATGGACGGGTGTCACATTTGTGTGAATGTGAATGGTTAGTGAGGTGAGGAGGGAGGTGTACATATTGTACATACTGTATATAGCGAGCTGGTAGTGCCGAGGATGGGACGCGAAGGGTTGGGGTACGACTTGGAGGGGGCGGAACGGAGGGTGGGAGAGAGGGAGGTGACGTCTGCCGAAGCGAAGGGTCAGGGAATGCGTGACAGCGGAATGGGGCGGTACTTACGTAAAAGGAGCAGGCGTGTGGAGAGGAATTACAGGGCATGGCATAGGCAGCTAAGGCAGAGGTTTGCCACCGGCACTTGGATGGGTGTACGCATGCATGCTTGTTTGTTTTCCCGTGTGTGCAGGCACGCTGCCAGGAGCCAGCTGGATCTGGGAGTGTCAGCTGGAGGCAAAGTAGCTAGAGGCGGGGAACAGGGGAGTTAGGCAGCAGGGATGCACGTCTACTCGAAGGCAGCCATGGCACCCAGAGAGCAGACGGGGAGAGAGGGACGAACTAGGTGGAGGAGGAGCTGGTAGAATAGGGGGAGTCTGGAAGTATGAGCCTTAATGCTTGTATGTTTCCTTTGTAAACACGAATTCTTGCACGCCGACAGCAAGTAGTGAGATAAGGAGCCATCACAAGCAGCAATGTCATTGATTAGCTAGTGAGGAGAGTTATGTGAGGGAGCTAGAGCTTATCTAGTGTGAGAGCATCACAAGAGGTAGCAGAGACTAAGGCTGGTGTGAGCAGCATGAGGCACCAAGCAAGCGAGAGAGTGTAAACCTGAGGGACAGAGAAAGGAGAGCCTGAGGCAGAAAGACTCAGAGAGAGAGGGAGTAGCAGAGTAGGGGTGGGATTCCGACACGGGCGTGCGTCTTAAATTGAAGGCGCTTACCGAAGCGGTCATCCACCCCTTGGTGTTGTGGCGCCAGTAGCACACAGCGTCAGGGTCGTAATCCAGGCGGAACGCATGGGGCCGCTTCGACTTGGATATGACGAGCGGCCGGAACGCGTGGCTTCCATCCGCATTCACGAGCAGGCCCACGGTGAGGCGTTCCTTGGCGATTTTGCGGCCCGCCACGCGCGATGCGCCGTAGGTCTTTCGCGGCAGCACCGAATTCCACAGCGCCGTCTCGTCAAAGTTGTACACATCCTTCGGCGAGACGGAAAGGTACATGAGAAGCTGAGGAAGCTTCTCACGGCACGTTCGCACTGCCGCCATGTCCTGATCGGCGGCCTCGCCCGACGAAGCAATGCAGCGGATGCCGTTGCGCCGCATAGCACGGCGAACCCACCCGACAGAGCAGCGGAAGGTGGGCGGCTTGCCCATGTCGCGAGCCATCACGGCCACGTGGTCGCGGATGGTCGCCAAGGTGAGCGGGATCCCCGCAGGTCCAGCGTTGGAGATCCATCGGACCATGGCCCGCTCGAGGTCCGGATGCGCACCGCCGCGCACGCGGACGGTACTGTTGTCCGCATTGGTGGCTTTCCACCGCTCCGCGCCTTTGATGACGTGGCCAATCGTGGAGCGGTCGGGGCAAACACCGAAACGAGTGAAACACCAGCGCGCAAGGTCGCAATGGCGCAAACGGGGGTTGCTAACGTGATGCTCGCATATCGCCCTCTTGATGTAGACTGGAAGCTGGGAGCGGCGCATTAGGCGCGGCATGGTGAGTGAAGGTGGTGAGAACAATGACTTAGTAGCTCGAGCGAATGTCATTTTATCCTCACATTGTGTTGCTCGTTTGGCTCTAGGCAAACAGTGGTTGAAACGCACAAAATGGGCTTATCCAACATTGTGGGAATGTGTATGGCCAAAAAGGGTGCGTATAACATAAAGGAAGCACTCCATACCACACGAGGTGACGTGTTTTTAACGATCATGGTTAGTTCATAGTGCCAGTGTCTATGCGCTGGAGCGTGAATGTCGCCATAAATGCGTGTTTAACGGACACGAATGTCCAATTCATTTCGTTTAGTGACGTGGGTGTTGTATTCATTTCATGGTCAATACGTGGATACGTCCTGCCTGAACAACGTACACGTGGCGCCGATGAGTGCGCCGTGTGCGTTTGGTGCACATTGCGCCGCACCGACGTGGCGTACAGTCAGGCGGCGAAGAAGTGCGCGACGTCATTTTAGTTTCGACCACGGTTTTCGCGACGCCTGTTTTTGGCCTGAAAACAAGAATGGTAAGGGACGACCACATTTGACTCATACGCATGGGCAGCTTTCGTCGTGTGGTGACCACTAGCCCAAGTGGCACTGGGAGCCTATAACGTGCCAAAATAAACGCGTGCAGATTTGGCGCGTGCAGTCAAAATTCGAGCGCAGCAGTTGAGCAACATGTGTACTGTTGTGCGAGGGCCTATGGCCCATAATCGCAACGGGACAACGCACGTTTGTGCGCTGTACAGCACGACCGAAATATCGGTTGTGCATGATTGCGCACCTGAGGGGTGCGCGTGCATTTCGGGCGGTGCTTCATGATTGACTCGAGATTTCAGTTATGTACAGTAACTGAATCTTGAGCCTCGTCTTTTGTGACGTGGTGCAAGGACATTTCGCTAGAATTTGCACATTTAAAGGTACAGATGATGCTCGTTTGACTAACCCAAGGTTGCCTTGTGAAGGGGGCTCTTAAGTGATTCTTGCATTTCGCTAAGTTTTTGTCGATTCACACTTTGCAAAAAGGGCTTATAAAAAGTTTTGTAACTCGCCGTTGACTTTTTGACTTCGGTCTCTTCGGTCAAGCTTCGTTTTTTGTGGTTCGTATTGGTTCAAATTGTCAGAATGTTATTATTGTCTAGCCTGTAGTGGGGTGCTCTATAGCGAGTACAACCCAGTTAGGGTTTGCTATATGTACCCCAACTGCTGCTAGTGAAACCCCTCTCCTTTCAATCATTCTTGCCTAGTCTTGTTGACACAAATCACTGCAACTTGCTCGAGATGCTTGTAAAGGGGGTGCAACTGGCTGGCCCCAAATACACGCGTGCAGAGTTTCTGGCGCGTGCAGGGCAAATTCGAGCGCAGCGGTTGAGCAACATGTGTAACAGTTTTGGTACAGGTACAAAATGGTGAAAATCCGTTTTACAGCTGTACAGTTTCGGGAAAACGGTAATTCCACACGAGGGAACATGATTCTACATGTGCATTCAGGATCCTTCGCGAGCGGAGTCAGCATGGGCATTTGGCAAACATGAAACTTGAAGACAGTTATTCTACAGAGGCGAGCCAAGCCAAATTCCGCAGTAGTTGAACAACTGTTTTTCCTTTGCACATCTGGCGAAGTCCTGAAGTCAAGTGAAACAAGTGCTTTGTGTTTCCTTTGTATGTGCGTAGGCTTTGATATAACACATGTGCTTGTGTGAAGTTGTAATCAATCATTCCAGTGAATATTTTGCTCTATCGACGTATTGACGCGAGTAGCTATTCTGCACACTCACCTATCGATCGTCAATGCTGCGCAATTGAGCTTGGGAATGCTCTTAGTGCACACGATCGGTTTTACGCTTAGAGAAATCCCTCTACAAACACGGACCCTTGGTTAGGGGCTGGCGTTGCCAAGCACCCAAGGACCCTTGGAGGTGACCCCGCAGGGACTATCTATTGTGTATTAAAGGTGTGCTTAAGAGTTTCTAGATCCCAATAATAGTTAACAGAAACATGTATCTCAAAATTTATCATATTGTAGTAATGGACCGAAAAAAACAACCTTGTTGAACAAGTGGTGAAACTGATGTAATGTAATGGTGCATTATATTGTCAAAGCAAATTATAAATTAATATTCAATTTGTGAGGATCGATAGGATCGAGTTCAGAAAAGAGAATCAGATTGATTTTATCCACTTGGGTACAACACGACACTATTTATAGTCTCGACACAAGGCACGTCACCCAGGTGTTACGCGAAGGTTCCGCGGGTCGCGAAGCGTCCCAAATAAATCCTTCCCGAATTTGGTAGAAGGCAATTCGGTGGCAACCGAAAGCCTAGAATTTGGTGCACATAACCTGGTTCGGTGTTATAACTATAATATAATATAGAAAAGCACCTAACCTAGGAAATCAAGCATAAGCATGCATGATAAATAATACCTAAGCTAAAAATAGAATAATAAAGTCAAGGCACGCAAGCAAAGCTAGTATAAGCCGTCATACTCACACTATCATAAAAACATCACTTGACATTGGTCAATTATATTTAGAATAGTGCCTGATTCTAAAACCTCGTTTGGTGATTTCATGCAAACTGGGTATTTTTACTTTATATCAAAACTATATTCCTTGACAGTTCATGTGATTCAAGACAGTTTTCTTGATATGAAATTCGATGGCCTTTGTACGAATAAAACTCAATGCCATGCTTCTTGCATACCAACCATGTTTGGTCATCTGTACAGCACACCAAAACAAAGAAAGAAGAGGGCCAGAAAACATATTTGTCAATACACATATATAGAATGCACAATTTGTCTAAGATTTTTTTTTCATTGCTCCTCTTCGAGCAACTTGTTGATTACTTGCTCTTTTGATTATGTTATATTGTTGTCTTTTGATGCTTTACCATGTTATGTTGACTGACGATATATGTTTATGTTATTAGGTGTGTTGATTACAAAAATACATTTCTGTAAATCAATCTGCCGATTTAAGGTTATGGTTCAGGTTTTTTAGCTGCGGCTGAATTGAGCGGCGAGTCTGGTACAATCGAGGTAAAGTCAAAGATGGTCTTGTCAAACATTATATATGTTGTAGCATTGAGGCTGCTGGGGGTGCTGAGCCTGGGGGTGCTGGGTCTGGGGGTGCTGCGACTGGGGGTGCTGAGCTTGGGGGTGCTGAGCCTGAGGGTGCTGAGCCTGGAGGTGCTGCGTCTGGGGGTGCTGAGCCTGGGGGTGTTCCGCCTGGGGGTGCTGAGCCTGGGGGTACTGCGTCTCGGAGTGCGGAGCCTGAGGGTGCTGGGCCTGCTCGTGTGGCGTCTGGTGGTGCTGGGCCTGGAGGTTCTTCGGGTGCTTCGTCCCGGCGGGAGCTACTCTCTCCACAGGAGCTGCGTGAGTGGTTTGCCCGGCGCTGGAGGCGTGCTGCTGGAGCTGGTGGTACTACGGACACTGGAGGTTCTGCTGCTGCTGAGGGTGCTGGTGCAGCGGGTCCCGGAGGTGCTCGTACAGGGTGTACTGGAGCTGCTGGGCCTACGGGTGCTCCTGGTGCTGGAGCTGGTGGTGCTACTGGTGCTGCTGGCGTTGGTGCTGCTGGTGCTCCTGGAGCTGGAGCTGCTGCGTCTTCGGGTGGTCTTCCTGGAGCTGGCGCTGGAGGGGGGGGTGTTGGCACTGGAGGTGCTACTGGCGCTGGTGCTTCTGAGGGTGCTGGAGTTGGCGCTGCTGGAGCTGGGAGTTCTACTGGTGCTGGTGCTGCAGTTGGGGGTGCTGGTGCTGTTCCTTCTGGTACTGGTGGCGCTGGGCGGCCCCGGCCGTACTTCGTTCCGCTCCTTGAGCAGGTTCTTGGTCTTCCGTCCTCTCTTGGTCCTGCTCCTGCCTTAGAGTGTCCGCCTCCTGTCCAGTCTGAGTCACAGTTACAGCCAGCCTCCCCGCTTCCTTCTCCTTCTCCCTACACTGGTCCTACTGGAGGTCTTGCTGAGCGTCGTGAGCCTGCGTCTCGCCCTGCGTCGCCTGTCCGTGCTGCTCGCACTGGTGGTCGTAGTTCGCGTCAGCGTCCTCCCCCTGTCCCCGGCACGCACCGGATGTCTCTGCGTCCTTCCACTGCTCCTCTGCGTGCCCCTTTGCCTTCTCCTCCCGCGTCCTCTCTTCCTGCGCTTCCTGACCCGGAGTCGGACTCCCTTCGTGCTGCGCGTCCTACTGTCACGCGTCTCCTTGCTACTGTCGTCACTGACCCTTCTTTTGAGTCTACTGCTGCGTCTGCCCTCGTTGCTGAGCTTGTCGACTTCGCTGCTCGCTGTCGCCTAGACTACGCTGCCAGTCTTGTCGCTGAGTCTGAGTCTGTCTGTCCTCCGTCCGTCGGGGGTGAGTGTGCTCTTGGCACGGACGTTCTTGAGGACAGGCAGGAGGAGTTCCAGTGCTTGGCTGCTGCTTCACCTCATCTCGTGTCCATGCTGCTTGCCCCTGAGGGAGACCCGGATGCACTTGACATCCCGACTCCGCGCTCTTACGCGGAGGCGATAGAGGGTCCCTACTCCTCTCAGTGGCAGGCAGCCATGGACGCAGAGATGGCTTCTTGGAAGTCCACAGGCACCTACGTTGACGAGGTTCCCCCACCTGGGGCGAACATCGTCAGTGGCATGTGGATTTTCAGGGTGAAGCGGCCGCTGGGTTCTCCGCCTGTCTTCAAGGCGCGTTACGTGGCTCGTGGCTTCAGTCAGCGGCAGGGAGTTGACTACTTTCAGACCTTCTCTCCCACCCCGAAGATGACTACTCTTCGGGTACTGCTGCACATAGCCGCTCACCGAGACTACGAGCTGCACTCTCTTGACTTCAGCACTGCTTTCTTGCAGGGCAGCCTGCACGAGGAGATCTGGCTGCGCCGCCCGCCTGGCTTCACTGGGACTTTTCCTCCTGGCACCCAGTGGAGCCTCCGGCGGCCAGTCTACGGTCTCCGCCAGGCACCTCGTGAGTGGCACGACACACTGAGGACTACACTTGCGGCTCTTGGATTTTCTC